ACTTACTGATTGTAGATTTACAAATATCATTCAATAACAAGTAAAAAGACTTACAAGCATAGCTTTTACTAAATAATCAAACGCACTTCAAACTTAAACAATCAAATATGGAAAAAAAAAAAAAAAAAAAAAAGCTTAAAAAACACTAACTTCAAAGTTTCACTTGAATATATAACATTATTATGTAATAAATTGGAGGAAAAAAAAAATCGTTTTTTAGGGTTTTGTTATATCGGCACTTCAAATATCTCATTATGCACTCCAAATTTATAAATTTAGAAAAATATTTACACTTACAAGGAGTGCACAATTAGATTTTATGCTTATAAAAGCAATTTTTTTTAATACATATAGTAGCATTATCAAATATATATTTAGATGGCAAAATTTTTTGGGGGCCCTTCAAATTTGAGATCCAGTGCGATTGCACCTTTTGCTCCCCTCAACATCCCCTCTGCCTTATGTATGCTTCACAGTAAAGAAAGCTCATAACAACATCCTACCGGATCTTTTTATGTTTCTTCATGATTCTGATGGGTGCAATTTGTTCTTTTTGTGTCGTTTCAAGATATGTTGTAGGACATCGCAAATCAGCGATTACAATGGCATTATATGCCCTACTAGAGGGAATGTGTGACGAAAAGGGGAAATTACTTCCCATGTGGAGTACGATATTTGTAGTGTCATGTGTGTTTGCCGTCTTACTAGATCCTCTGTTCTTGTACATTTTAAGCATTGATCAAGATAACTAGTGCTTTCAAATGGACAAAAGGCTGAGAACTACAGTTCTTGTGTTGCGATCACTCACTGATATCATTTTCGTTGTGCCTTCTATAGTTAAAGTTTAAATCAGTGTTCATTTTTTAATGCAAAAAAGGTTGAGGGCTAATGTGACTGCAAATACCAGAATTTTTTTTTTTGGAGAACCAAATACCAGAAATTTGGGTAGGAAATTCAGAGTTCAATTTCTCCATCATAAATGATTTTCTAGCTCTTCTTCCCGTCCCACAAGTAAGGGAAACTCAACTCTAATTTTTTTTGTGCAGCTATTCTCAACCAGCTAGATGTAATTAGGGAAATTCTAACTCCTTTTTATTTCTCTTCTCTAGCTGCTAATAGTATTTACTTTTTACCATATAAGAGGTGTTGGATACGTGGAACATAGAAAGTTTATGAATATCTTCATTTTTGGTCAATATCTACCAAGGATATATCAAATTCACCAGTTGTCCAAAGAACTTCAACATACTGCTGGAATTTGGGTTAAAGTTCTATTCAATTTCGTTCTCTATGTGCTTGCCAGTCACATAAGTTGCTTCGCTTGTCATTTTATTATAATGTTTTGTATGGAATATTAATAAAAAAGATTTCAAAACTTTGAATCTTAACCAAAAAAAAAAAAATTCTAATAATTTTATTTATTAAAAATGGCTTGAACTTCAATGAAAAAGACTAATGTTAATATAATATAAAAAACCTGGAAGAACTGTTATTAGTTAAAGACAAATAAAACAATGAAATCATTCTTCAGGCATATTAGTTAATAGACATCATATAAAAAGATTTAAGATGGAGTTTAGAATACCTTTAGTTTTATAAGCTCAGCATCTGTCGTGCATTTTCCTTCCTTTTAATAACGCGAAACCCATTCTTTGCGGGAAGTTTTAACAAAAAGTCCACGGTACTGTTCACTTTAACGAAAAACCACATTTTTACACTAAAAAATTAATCATAATACTATTCACTTTACCTTTTATTTTGTTAAAACTCAAAATTTTCAAACCATTTTCATTAATTTTACTTATTATCTATTTGTTCAATTATTTGTACTATCTCAAACTCATATGTATTCGTGGATCTTACCTCTATTAAAAAGATTGTACAAATAAAGTGCAAATAGACAGTACATAAGACAGCACTACCCACTTTTTCAGGATCAGCAGCCAATTTAAATTTAAGAATCTGGAATGCTTCTTTCTTTTGTTTGTAAATTTAAAGAAAAATACAATTTCGTAAGTTATTTATAAAGGGAGTCTTCTTGAGATAGTCCTCCAAATTTATTTTTTTACAATATGCTGGAAAGCAATAACTAAAAGTGAAACAAACTTTAAAATTCATGCTAATTTTCAAGTATCATTACATAATAAGTAAAGAAAGCTTTGATAAAAAAAAAAACCATCACTAACAATCAATTCAATCTTAAGAAACTAAAACCTTCAAAAAGTACATTGAAGTTTCACTTAGAGATAATTCTTCATGTTTTTTGCTGCAACATCATCAATTAAATTGTAGTGGTAAGGGCCACTAAAATATTGTTAAATTGCTAAAAAAAAAAAAAATCATAAATGATATAAACCAAATATCTTAATTGATGTACCTATTTATGGTAGAATGTTTTATTTCCTCTATTTTTGCAACACTCAAAAATGATAAACCAAATATCTTGTTCGTAATCTGCTCTCTCAAAATATAAGTATGATATCATAACAGATTGATCAACGCAATAGATATAACTAGCACTGATGCCCGATGTTGCGGGTCATCAACGGTGATATCATTTTTTCAGTAGGACATGACATTTTAATTACATAATAGAAAATGATAGAAGACAGAAATTGTAAAAAGGAACAACACAACTCACCACAAAACGAAATTGCTAGGGTTTCCTCCAAACAACAGAAATCAGAAACACAAACTTACATACAGCTGTTTCAGAACATAACTGACTTGAATTCGACTTCTTGGACAATAATCTCAAACCGCTCTGCCGCTAAAGCGACAAAAATTCGCCAAAAAGCCAGTCCCAACTTCGGGATTGCCGATGATAACAGAGACCAAGACCGTGAAATTTTTTCCCCGACGATTGCAAAATCAGGATAAAACGATGTAACCCAATTTTTTACCCCAAAAAAACAGAGGATCGAACTCGGAATCAAACAGGAGAAAGCGAGACGAAAACAGAGAGAAGCAAAAGCTTGCGAGAGACAAAATCAAACATAAATGGGTAAAGTGAAGAAAAACAGGCAGCAAAATGGCAAATCAAAGAAAAAACCAGGGGCATTTCCGTCCGTACACTGATGATGAACAGTGTTATAGGGAAAACTGAGTTTTAGCATTTATGACTGGTAAATTTTATCCACGCATAGTTGCGGGAGTAAAAATATAACCATCGACCATATTTTTAACATATAAATAACCACAGATTAAGATAAACATTAAGTAGAAAATGGAGCAAATATTTTTACAAAGCTGTCTAAATTCATGTAACTTCCAGAAAAGACATTGTATAATTACTTGAACATCTAATATCCGATAAGAGCTCATTTTCCATCGTGTTAGCAGTAATACTTTACATGAATGAATCGGACAGACAATGACAAACTATGATATCAATAAATGAAAAAAAAAAATCAACAGTCATCATTTATATATAGGAATAATAAAAAGCCATTTGCATTAGCTCTGGATCAAGTTCAACTCAAGGCTACAAAAATTTTAAACCCGAGATTCAGATGGCATTATTCAACCCCAAAATCCAAATAGTACATTTAACCGACTTAACACGATGGAAGGCACAAATCAAATCTAGGAAATCATACTCAACCTACATTGCAGAAACGAACACTGTAGCTTATATGCATTCTCAATGTCCTCAGCAAGTCCTCTCTCCAATGGCCCTGCAATCCACAAAAGGTTTCTGAAATTAGGTTGCTCCTTACCATAGTTATTTTATTCTTCTTATTGGATGTTTCAGCAAAGCATTTGATTGACAAAGGCTGTTTCACAAAATGAAACAACAGGATCAACCTGCAAACTTAAGGGGTGGAAAAATTACTTTAAAAAGAAAAAACGTGAAGAGAGGATGAGGATTGGGAGCAAACAATTACCTTGACCTCTACTTCCAAATAAAGCTCTCTTAGGTCCTTCATTATTCGGACATAGCCTATAACACATTAATTTATGTTTAAAAAAAAAAAAACCTAAAAATTAAGCACCAATTCTTTCACTTCAAATTCCATAAAAATAAAACCTCTGAAACAAAAAGTTATTGGGCTTTCTCTTGTGAGGAGGAGTTCAAAACTCACAGTTCCGCAAGATGGGCATCGGCCGTAGATTCGATTTGTCTCGGATTTCACATTCGTTTTCTGCCCTTTGCAAAAATCACAGAGCAGCCACCCTCTCCCATTGCAATCCTCGCAGAGAATCGCCACGTCGGCCTTGGAAAAAACTCGAATCAAAGCAAAAACATGTAAAAGAGCGGTGCCATACCTGTGGAGCTCGAGCATGGAAAGGCTCTGGTTCCTTGCAAAACAACAGAAAAAACGTGTACAAATCTAGCTTCACAGAGATACACAATTCTAGGGTTGGATGAACGCAGGTTTTTTTTTTTTATCATTTCAGGAGAGATGAAGCAAATGAAAGCAAATGAAAGCAAATGGAAGCCACTGGAAGCAAATAGAAATCCTGACAAATGGAAGCAAATGGAAGCCACTGGAAGCAAATAGAAATCCTGACAAATGGAAGCATGGGAGAAAAAGTAAGGTTTCAGAACTTCTGAAGCCTCCTTCCAGGCAGAAGTGGCCAATCCTGCAATTCACCGTACAATCTCACCAAACTGAAAAACGATGAAGAGAATGAGGGACAAAACCGGATAGGAACCGTTAATGAACAGTAGCTTTTTATACCAGTTGCTTTAACACGTTGAAAAGCGGGGAAAGAACCAGTTGATGACTACTTTATCTACAACACAACCAACAACGAAAAGTCGGGAAAGAAGAGCAATGACATAAATTTTATTGTTTGTTGCGCCAACTCACTTTTTTTTAATATTTTTTCTCTGGCCACCCGCATTTTTATCACATTTTTTAATATTTTGTTTTTGTCTTTTATAAGTTTTTACTGTTTGTTGTGCCACGAACTATGTGACCGGTATAAAGTGTTATTGTTTATTGTGCCATTTCACCGACTTTGTGGCGCCAAAAAGGAAAATAATTATAAAAATAATTGTTCTAGGGAAAAAATAATTAAAAAATATGCGTGGGTTTTGAAAAGCAAAGAAACGCAGATGATGCACAGCGGCACCAGAAAGAAGAAAGGGCAAAATGATCAACTCACTGCATAATTACAGAAAAAGGGTAAAAAATTGCTCAGCAAGCGAGGGACAAAACCGGTGGAGCACGGTTAATGAACAGTAGCCATCCACCCGGTTTTAGTATATAAAAGCTAGATAGTAATGCCAGCGTGTTGCTACGAGATTACAAATTAACTTTCTAGCAATGTATAAACTTGAGTTAGTATCGGTGTAACATTGACTGATCTAACAAAATTACCATAACAAAGAAAAGAATTTTATTTGCTATAAAAAAATTATTGTTTTGATACCTTACGAAGGTAATTTGTTCAAAAAGTCGAAAGCAAGCGGTTTTTAATCTTGAAATTCCACAACATCCTTTGAAAAATATCGTCCATCATCGGATGGAACTATTGTACCCCTAGAGGAGAGAAAAAAAGGATAAGTTACTAAGATATTCTCATATTAAAAAGAAACACAGTTGAAATTGAACGAACAAAATATTCAAACATGGTAAGTAGATCATGGGGGATAATCTATCATTTTTGGCCAAGTGAGGAATTTCTTGAGTACTGAGAGAGAAAGAAGTAGTTCCACATTATTTTATGATACCTATTGGGTTATCTTGCATTTCACTCTATTTATAAAATCGATTACTGACATGGTTACAACCTTGCCAACAACACCTCTAGTATTGGGTGTCCATTTAATTTAACTTGAATTTCTCCTTCAATCTTGGATGTACATAATGCTTCAGTTTCATTTTTACCGCACAAAAATTGAGAGTCTAAATGGGTTTTACATATAGATGATAAAACTGCAACTCAGTTGAATCGAAGACAACGAAAATTTGAGTATTATTTACCATAAACTGACTTGCAAAACATGCAAGAATGAAAATGAAGAGAATTTGCTTCATCGTATTTAGCAAGGAAATAAATAGCAACGAAAATAGTATGATTTGGTGAACCTTACCTTTAACTTATTCTGACACTAGGGGGAGTCATGGAAAATGTTTCTTGTAAGTGGATAACTGCACCAAAGATGAGAAGAGTTAATGTCAACCCTCAAGAGAATAAAAGTTAGTATATCAATGACTTGATCAATGGAATAAACTCCTAGCTTTTAGTTCTAAACTCTTAACAGAATAAGAATTAATAGATCAATGACTCCATGACTATAATGAGGTACTTTTATATGAATGTTTAAAACCCAAATACTATCAAACCAACTCCAAGTTTGAGAAAGTAGTGGAAAAGCGAATCATCAAAATAAGAAGATTTAAACTAAATTAAACATTTTTCTCAACATTATTAGACGTGTAACAAAAAGAAGTAATGGAAAGAAAAAGTTTGTCGTGAGACTTGTTGTTAGGTGTTCATTTGGACTATTGACGACTATGAATAATCTTGTGGGACAAAAGAAATAAAATGAGATTAAAAAAGCAGGAAAAAAGATTTATCAAATTTGTAATTACATGAAAGATAAACTAAATTAAACATTCTTCTCAACATTATTAGACTTGTAAGAAAAAGATGGAATAGTAACCTGAAGAGAAAAAGTTTATCGTCAATCTTGCTCTTAGGTATTCACCAGACTTGCTCCTAACTCGAGCTGTTTCTAAAAAAGGAAAAATTTACATTATTTTGCAATAAATTTCATTGTAAGAATATGCACAATAACTTCAAAATTGAGTTTTGGAGAAAGAGAGGTGAAGTCACCAAGTAACCAGAGACCAAATCCATTTTTTCCTGATTACCCAAGTGGTAATCCAACTTGAGAAATCCTATAATCAAATACGCAAATAAAGTAGGTGAAGTCACCTTGTAACCAGAGACCAAATCCATTTTTTCCTGATTACCCAAGTGGTAATCCAACTTGAGAAATCCTATAATCAAATACGCAAATAAAGTTCAATCAAACTTCAGCATGAAATATAAATTAGAAAAGCACTGAAATGGAAGCAAAAACGATTGAAATTTGCCTAATGTGATGTGTACAATTTCAACATCTGCTTGTGAAAAATATATTGATGCTATGATGTATGCTGATCTCAGTTCTCCAAAATGACATCAACCGTTGACCACCAGGTAGGTAAAAAAATCCATACGATATCTTACAAACATGACATAAATTATTGCATCAAAGTTGTATTCCCAAAAGAAAATTCATACTTCTAGATGAACCCAATGTATGATTTTTGCATATACCTTGGTGGATTTATTCTCTGGATGAGTTTCTTGTACTCATCATCCATGTTATATGAAAAACTCATTCTAACTCCTGCAGTAAATCACAAAAAATGAAAAATAAAATTAGACAAAGGGTTGGAGAGAATAAATAAGAATAAATCGGAGAGATGAATAACCCTTCTAATCAGGGTGCTTGACGATGGTGGTGACATTATCCATGTCAGGTCTTTCCAGCTTTCGCCAGATCATGCATATCAATTAAACGAAAAAGGAGAACATCACCCAAATATGTAAGACTTTTGGCTTATATGCATCCCAAATTAAGGTTCCAACAACACTATAATTACGGAAATTCAGCTTCCCACATCTCATAAATAATTAAACGAAAAAAAAAAAAAAAGAGAGGGAGGAATAATGCATACCAAGGAAGAGAAAAAGCTGGAACGGATCAAGATGTTTGACGATTGAAGTGAATTGGGATCTGGTCTTCTTTTTTTCCTTGAAGTTTCAGTAATTTGTGAGCACCATCCATTTGTATTTATAGTAATTGCCTGCACAAACCTCAATCACCTTACAATCTATCACCGTCCTTTTAGTTCTACCATATGTGAATGTCTTCATACTTGTCAGCATATATATATATATATAATTTATATATATACATATATATATTTATATATAAACTGAATTCTGAAAGCAATGAGAGAAATATACCTTTGGGGCGTCGATGCCAGAAGGGTGAGTGAGGGATCTAAGATGTTTGAGAACAGGAATTTTTGAGCTATTTGTGCGAAAAAGTTGAAGAGCTTCGAACAAAGTGGAGTGAGTTGGCATGGGCTAAAATAAACAGGATGAACTCTAGAAAGTAGAAAATGTTGTTGTTCAACCAAACTCAAAAGTAAAGAAACCATACTATTAACATATAAATAAGTTTTATATATCAATGTTTACATGTACGTTGTTTGATAAGGTAAATTAGCAAGATATACAGTGATCAAAAGATTAAAAGCAATAAACTGCTCATTATTCGAAATATACATGAAAGTTGTCATTTACATGATCCAAATGGTAGTTAATGCAGAGGACAAAACAGAAGGAAACAAATATTATAGCAACATAAGTTAAATAATTGCAGCAAGCAAACAAATAGAAGACTGAAAAACTGGAAATGAAAGCAGGTAACATTGAGTTTTAATAACCGAAAAGGGACCTTCTTTAAGCAGCTCCACAACAACATTTATATGTGGATGATGAGCTGCAAAAACAGAAAAGAACACACAAATTAAACTAAAAATATAGAATTTAACACTAAACCAAGGATTAAATATCAAATATAAAGTCATTAGGATTGAGACCTTTGCATTGAGGAAAATCTACTACATTATGAATTCCCTCCTAATAAAGCCCAATCAGGGGGTTTTCCGGTGAGCCACGAACAACTAACTTTGCGTGACACCGCCATCCCCACTAACACCAAACCCAGATAATATCAAGATCAAAACTAACCAATACCGGAAAGATATTTCTTTTTATTTAAATTTTAAGAAAAGGCCTAAACTTAACGAAAAGGTAAATTACATTTTCATACCTCAGGTTTGGGGGCTATTTCAATTCCTTACAACATTTTCAAAACATTTCACTTTCATACCATAAGTACTATTTTATTTCAAAATAATACCTCCGTTACATTTTCCATCCATTGATCCGTTAAGTGCTGACGTGGATGCCACATATATGCCACGTGGCAAAAAAAAACCTAAATCTTCAACCAAAAAAAAAGAAAAAAAGAAAAAGGTTAGAAAACTAGATCCCATCACCCCAACCCCACCCCACCCCGGGCGGTGTCGGAGCCTCATCATCTTCCATCCGTCGTTCACACCCATCCTCCACCTCCTCCTCCGCACCCATCCTCCACCTCCTCCGTGCACCCATCTTCCCATCTTCCCCCTTCCAACCTGAGCCCAACCTGCAACCCAGAAAGAAGAAAAAGAAAAAAAAAACCAGCGCACCCACCCTCGCACGCACCCTCTTCTCTCCTCTACACACCCCACTCCTTAAATCCACACTCATTGGGGAAGACGGGATCTGGATTGTATGGAAATGGAGAGTTTTTTTTTTCTTTTCTTTTCTGGGTTTTTTGTTTTTTTTTTTCTTCTGGGTTGCAGGTAGTGGGTGTGGAGGAGGAGGTGGATGGTGGGTGCACGGTGGGTTTGGGGAAGACGAGAGGGGGAGGAAGATGAAAGATGGGTTTTTTTTTTTTTTTTTTTTCCCCTCTCCTCTTCTTCTGGGTTGCATGTTGGGTTAGGGGCTAAGGAGGGATGGGTGTTGCGGGTTTAGCTTTTGTTTTTGGTTTTTTTTTATTTTTTTTTTCAGGTTTTTTTTTTAATTAAATTTTTTTTTTTTTATCACGTGGTAAATATTTAGCAGCCACATGGCATATATGTGGCAGACACGTCAGCACTTAACGGATCAATAGATGGAAAATGTAACGGATGTATTATTTTGAAATAAAATAGTACTTAAGGTATGAAAGTGAAATGTTTTAAAGATGTTGTAAGGAATTGAAATATGTCATAAACCTGAGGTATGAAAATGTAATTTACCCTTAACGAAATTAAGGGGAAAAAGAAGTTAAGTAAAGCACCAATTTGCAACTGTCAAAAGTGAAATATGAGACTCCAACTGTCTTGAAGAACTTCGTCGCCTCATCGACAATGACTGGACGGTGGAGATTGAACTCATGTGTACACGCAGAGCACCTGATTGTACACCGAATAGAAAACAAAATTTAAATCAAGTCGAACAATAATTATGAGAAAATAAACTAAAAGGGATTTGAGCTGAGAGTTACGATTCGAAGTGTGGGCAGTGGAGGGTGCAGGTTAGCGGCGGTGGAGGAGGGGTTCAGCTAGGGCTCAGTGAGAAAGAAGGTAGTGCTAAAGGCACTATTTGACAGCCAATCATATAATAGCCACAAAAACAACGCTAAAATTTTCTACGCACACAAAAAGAAATTGACAAAATTTAACCAAATGTAATTTCAGCAGTGGAAAACAAAAAACTAAATAGAACAGAAACAAAATCTCAAAATCCAAGTAAAATGAAGAACAAAAATCCCAGGACCAAAATTAATATTAAAAAAAGAAAAGAAAAATAACCAACATACAAGAAAGACAATATAATCGATGAAAGTAAGGAAATCCATTTGCAAAGAAGGTTTTTGTTTGCGAACCTCAACAACAAGATCTTGTGAACAGAAAGGAGAATTAAGCCAAAGAAAATTGAGCCAAGCTTCAAAATATTGATTTGAACTGGTATCTTAAGTTTTGAAGGGTGCGGGCACAGCTGGAATCAGTGAGACCAAGACAACAATTGAGAGGCTGCAATCAAAATAGAGGCTTGATCGATGATGATTTCTATGATTTCACGGGTGTGGAGGCAGTCAGAATCCGCGAGGCACCAAAAACCGACAGCGAGAGAGGGCGAGTTCGAAAACAATAGAAGAGAGGTCTGTGAGAAACCAGCGGAAACAAAGGGAAAAATCCAGAAGATGCAACCCAAATAGAGGGTGGGTCGATGATGGACGCGTGGATCGAATGGGCGAAACAACCATTCGACTGTACAAATGTGGAAACAGCAAGGAAAACAGAGGAAAAAGTCAGGGGCAAAGTCGTCCGCGCACAGGTCATCCACAGTGACCACCCCGGTTGAGTTTTAGTATATACTAGTAATTGTGCCCGTGCGTTGCCGCGGGTTTTAAAAGTGTATGCATGAAATTTGCAGAAAGTTCTACAGCACATGTATGTGAATTCATCGTATTTCCAGGAAGGAATAAAAGTAACGAAATAACAGATGGTCCAGCCTTGTTTTGGTAATGGAGCAATTGTAAGAAACAATGTATTTGTAATCCAAAGGTTAAATTTGTGTTGTGGGGTGTAAAAAAATGTTGATTCAAATGTGAGTTTGTGAAGGTTGTTAAGTGTGCAAAATGACAGTTATCACGGATGAAAGTGTTTAGGTATTTAATATTTAAGTAAGGGTAGAAATAATATTGTTCTTGTTAATAACTTAAACAGCTAACAAATAATTTTATCAAAGCAAATAAAAGATGGTGCTAGAATGGTGTACCTTGAAATGAATGATGATTGGAGGCAATGCTTTACACAAAAACTGGTTGTGCTGTAAAATAACAGTAAGCAGGAATAAATTTGTATGTATGAAATTGTTTTCAGAACTGGAAAGTTAGGAATCAAACACTGCACGAAAGTAATAAGAAATATAAATCTAGGCTAACAATATGCTTTAGCATTTTTCCTTAGGAACCTCATATATCAGAAGTAATATTTAGCAAATAGTAATTGTATAGTTTCAATCTTATCACTAATGTAATCATGTTGGTTTCTAATCGAAAATCTTATACTGATGCATATTTGGAAAAAAAAAAAAAAAATTTTTGATCTATAACTAAAGAATTGTTTAATGAAATTGAATAATAATATTGTTAATAGAAGGAGACGGTACACAAAAATGGATCAGATACATTTAGTTCGCTGTTTCTCTATAGTACGCAGGTATAAGTTGCTTAGTTATTTCAACTTGCATAATTCGGACAAACGATCATCATTTCCATTATTCCTTCTCAGAATCAACTGTTACGAATCTGTAGTTAAAGACTTTCTTGTATTGGCTTAGTCATAATACATGGCTAATGACTCTGCTGATCAGTGAGGGGTTTAAAATGGATGACTAAAAGTATAAACAAAGATGTTCCTACCAAAGATGTACTTGTCTCACATACTTTAGCTAAATGAAAGAAGACTTTAAAAACAAAGGAATTGTTAAATGTGAACAGGGTAGATCTGTGATGGGAACGTCTTGACTAATACTTTTAGATATTGACGTAAACCCCTCAGTGATCAGGGAAGGGATTAGTCATGTATTCTAGACCAAGTCAAAATAAGACAGTCATTATCTACATTGAAAACCATGTGATGAAAGGATTTAAAATTTCTGAAACCTTTTGAGACTTACATTGTGGTCTGCAGTCTTTTGATCCCCAATGGAGGTTACCAAGAAGGAACATCACAGAGCAGGTCCTATGGAAGCTCCTAGACAATTGGTAAAAGATCATTGCCTACAAATCTGAAAATAGAACAATTCGATCAAATAAAAAAATACAGATAGATATGTTTGTTATACAGAACCTGTGAAAATGGTGCAAGTTTCTATAATAGAACCAATGGGAGGTCAACGGTTCATCAAATACGAAAATCAAATACTGATATTGTAGTTTAATGGAAAACCTGAAAAACACAAATAGATGCTAGAGCAACATTGTGACAGAGTGAATGCAGAAATGGATATATTAATTGAGATGTTTGATTTTAAACAAATGAAAAACTAATGAAAAGAAAAGTCGATTAACCAAAAAAACTCAACAATAAACAAAGCTGTTAAAACATTAGGAATAATGGAAAACATTACGAAAATCAAATATATTTTTTTACGATGATCTGAACAAAGATTGCACCCAGACCACACCAAAAATTGGTCGGAAAGCCGATGACAATTGGGGAGAAACGATTTACAGAGATGCAGAACTTGTCTCAAAACACAATTTTTCCTTAATGCATTACATATTCCTTTATTGATAAATTATTTGCTTACGAATTTGTTACTTTTGTAGATACTTAGAGCTTTTTAGCGTTTCTTTCCTATTCAACAAGAGACAACATGCTGGAAAAAGCAAGAGCCAAAAATAGTCCAGATCCTATTGGATGTATGAATACTTTCTAAAATACTTCAAGAAATATAACATTTTTAAACGGGCAATTGCCCGTTAGATACTTCACATGGTGCCTTACCACCATTTAATTTGGGAATATTTCTCGATTCCCTTAAAAGTCATAACTCATAGCATATAAAGTTCGGAAAGAAGTTCTTTTACTCTTTCTGGTGGGGCTTGCGAAATCTAAGGTTCCTAGTATATCCATTGACAATCAACAATTTTTAGAAAATATGCAACGAAGTTTTTTTTGGGGGTCATCTAATTCTGCAACATTGTATAATATTTTGCAGTAATTTTGGGACGAATCTGACAACAAGTACGTATGTGTGGGAAAACTTGTTTGCGATTCTCATTTTTGTCGTTGGTTTGTTACTGTTTCTATATCTCATTGGAAACGTGCAGGTTGGTATGATGAATCTCTCTGTACTTTAATTAACAACAATCTTCGAGTATATTAAGTAGTTGTTTGATTTGTGGAGAGAGACTTTTATGCAGATGCAAACTACAAAAACGAGGAGAGGAGACAAAAAGCAGTGGAAGACGAGGAGACGAGACGGAAGAATCGGTTGAAGATGCTAGACGTAGTCAAGTGGATATATGAAAATAATTTCCCTGATGATATCCAGAACGAAATCACCAATAGCATCGAGGAAACGTTGAACAACGACAAAGATACTGATGTCCACAAGCCATTCCTTATTCTTCCCTAGCAAACCCAAAAATCGTTAAAACGCTTTCTTTTCATGAAGACACTTAGAACAGTATGTTCTTCAAAACTTGACCTCTCTCCGTCTATT